TATTTAAGATTTTATTTATTTATCAGAGAGAGAGAGAGGGAGGCAGAGGGAGAAGCAGGCTCCTTGCTGAGCAAGGAGCCCGATGTGGGACTTGATCCCAGGACCCTGGGATCATCTAGTGCTCTATTTTTCTATCTTCAGGTTTAGTGCACCATTAGGGGTAATATACAACAACAAGTGGTAATATAAATATACAATATACAAGAGTTAAAGATGTATCATATCACAGTTAAGCTGAGAGATCAATTGGTGAAAATCCAGGTAAATTAGAATCATAAGATTTTAAAAATGAGAAGTGTCCTTATATATTTTTTATTCTAATAACCGTACAGGCAAGGAAAATGCACTTCAGTGATAAATGGTGTCCTTTCTGAGGTGATAAAGCTCATTAGTAGAACTTGAATCAGAAACTCAGACTTCCAGCTCAGTGCTCAACCTATTTATCTGTAGTACACCGTTAAATTACAGTATTATTTGGGGTGCCTGAGTGGCTCAGTCAGTTAAGCATCCAACTCTTGGGTTTTGGCTCAGGTCGTGATCTCAGGGTCGTGAGATCGAGCCCCATGTTGGCCTTTTCGCTCAGCACAGAGTCTGCTTGAGCTTCTCTCTCCTTTTCCCTCTGCCCCTCCTGTTTGTGCTCTCTCTAAAATAAATAAATAAATCTTCTTTAAAAATTACAGTATTTTTCTTACAAATGAAGTCACTGTTAGATTCTTCTAAAGAGTAAGATACCCAAACTTACTTGATATATCACTTAATCAAAACAGGTTTGATTTCCAAAATTTTTCAAAGAGCCGGTTTTGTGAAGAACTCTGTGTACATATGCTCTTCACATCATGACTACATATATAGACAAATAAGAGATCATTGCAACTATACTGAAAAAATTGCTGATATCGAGGGCTAAAATATAAGCACCCATTCATAAATGTAAAACAGTTCAGTCAAGACCAGCTCTTGTGTTTACATAGCACAAAGTTACTCAAATTCAGTCCCCTGTAGAGAAGCATGAAATATACAATACACTGAAGCCAATTAACATCCATTTCTGGGAACCCTTTTCAAAGAAACAGTTTTCTTCATATCCTATAGTAGGAGTTCTTCTGAAATACACAAGATTCAGGGCTTTTCTCTGAGGCAACCACTACTTTATGTTTTTAGGGGGAATATTATTGATACTCAGTGTAAAATATTGAGAAATCAGTATTTTGCCATATCATTAGAAATTACAATTGCTTTTAAATACTCAAATTCTATCCTTAGGCCATTTTGACCAGTAATGACTGGAAACCCAGGTTAAAATCAGAGGTCTTTATTTCACATAGGACACACAGTACTTGGAGTGCTTGTGTTGAAATTTTTCCATGCAAATTCCTACCAGCACTTAATGCCTTTATCTTTGTCCTCATATGCTACATTACACCACCTGTTGTATTAAAAAATAAGAACTTTATGATATTTAAAACGCTTCTTTCAATTAATACCTACAGATTTTCTGCCAATAATTTCTTATTCCAAGTATGTGATTGCTAACTGAATGCAACACTTGTGGTTATGCTCTAAAATATTTTAAAGAAAACTACAGAAAATATATGTTATAGATAAAGTAAGTAATTGTTTTATGGCACAAGTGGCTCTCCCTGGTAATTAATAATAATAATAACCAGTTGTTAAATCTACACAGAAAAAAATAAACAGAAATATATCAAGCTTCTGAGATAATTCATCAAGAAAATATAATACCCTTTAAGTCCATAAATTTAAAGACAAATATTTAATATAAAAATGAACATATTAACATATAAAAGAAATAATACATTATGGAGCATATAGGGATCACTTTATTATTAAAAGGTTAAATCTCTTTTTAGTGGTTAGTATTGGTTATCTTCTTCCCTCCATGAAAATAGATTATTATACCTCTATATTGTTATCACTCCCTATACACATGGCCCCTCCAAAGCTGTTAAATAAAAGACTAAAGCACAAGAATGATAGTTCCAATTTCACTATACATTTATGTTTAAAAAATACTGGGCACACTGGACATTCAAATAGGTGATGTACAGCCACGAAATCATTAGGTCAGCTTTGTGCAATAAAAAATATTTTCCTTGAATACAATGAATCATAACAATCTGCATGGCTCAAAAACACGAGATCAGTGATGCCTAGTCTCTACCATAAGTCACCATTTCTAGACAGAGGCTCTATTTCCTTTGAGAGATAAAGGAATAGTAAGCAGTGTACACATCAAATGATGACTTCGGTTCCTGAAATTTAAATTAAAACAGCATTAGGTTAAAAATAGCAGCATGAAGATGATTTTAAAATAAGAAAAATGATCTGGTGGCTAGATTCTATGGTGCAGATAATTAAATGTTTTGCCAGCTTACCTGATAAAACAGAGCTTGACAGATCACAGCATAACAAAGCCCCGTATCCAAGATGGTTAGAGTATAAGGTGCCTTTCTCTGCAGTTGTTCAGATTTTTGGCCACAGAGATTTACAGATTAATTACAGTGTTTTTTTCTTTGCTTTCTCTGTGGACAAGAAAACAAAGAGACCTTTCCAGAATCCTCTCTGCTTATGCCTCCGCTTCCTGTTCTGAGATTCACTCTATGGTACCCAACATATATCAGAAAACAGCTTTGTGGGGGGGGTGGGGGGGTGGGAAGCTGACAGCTCTCAACATGGTACCGCCATCTACTGGCAGACACACAAAATTGAACAAAAGGAAAAACATCCTCATTATTCTTTATAAGGTAAAATGTAACATCTCCCTGCATATGAGTATGTACAAAGAGACTCTTTCCCATACTCACTTATTTGTACCTCACCAGTATTTTGTAAGTTTACAAAGGTTATTCACTCATAAACTACCACAATGAACATAAAACCTACAAATATCTGTTTGAAAATTACGTTTTTAGATTACCTTACACCCTGCAGGTAGAGTTCTGCAAAAATCTCTCTTGTGGTCTGTGCTGGTCTTCTGAAAATTTTTTTCTTCTCACGGGATGGATTATTTTCCAAGTGAGTAATCTGACTCCTTAAAGAACAGTGTAATACACATTTACTGATAGTCTTTTGTGTTGCTTTTGGTAAAACATTTACAAGAAACAATATCTGAATGTAGAAAGGTATTCTAAACCTTAGCAAGATCTAGCTAAGTTAGATCTGTGGATTATTTTGGTGTGTGTATATGACATGAGGAACAGTTAAATTCACCTTACATGAGATAATTCAAATCAATTATATCTATGTCTTTAAAATACTTGAGAAAACATTGTTTATAAGAATCTTGAAGCATGCAATACATAAGCAAAATGAAAATGATTTTTATCAGTTTATTAAAAGAGGTTTGTCATGAAACTGCTATTCATTTTATTTGACTTTTTATATTTACTTTAGAGCAAACAACTATAATTTTATTAGTTTATCATTAATTAATTAAAATATATTCATATTGATGGAGCACCTTAATATATGTTAAGTGCTGTATTAGCTTTGAAAAGACAAAGATAAAAACATACGGTGCCTGCCATCAAGGAGCTTACGTATAATGGAGAGACAAATATAGCAGGTACCATATTTTCAAGCTATGTGCTCAAGGAGTGTTATTTACTTTGTTTTTAATTCCAGCCACATTTTGCCTAATGGCAGAAAATAAATCTAGTCAGTTAGAGGTAGACTGAGTCACTTGAGGCTGTTCCCAATGATTTCAAGTTTATACTAAACCAATGTACAGTTTTCCTCTTCCATCTTCTTACACAGGGATTGATTTAAGTCCAGGAATGCTCACATATGTGGAGAAAGAAGAGTATGGTTCCCAGCCTCCTGCTTTTCTATGTGGGCATCCAATGAGGTGTAGAATCCTGTATGATTTTTGGGCACCAAAATCCCTCCACATGGACATCTACCAACGTGCCCGCATTCCCCTTTGGTTCCAGAAACACCATCCATCCAATTTAGCATGGCAGCATCCCCTCTTCATAAGCATTAGCTACCTCAGGTTTGTCAGCTCTTCCTCTCAGGTAACTTTTGTTCCTGTCCTTGGGGAAGGAAGGAACACAGCTAGCAGGCTTCCAGGGTCACTCTGGGCTGTAAGTGACTGATATAAGTCCCACATCTGAGGTACTGCACACACCATCTCTGTGTTGTTTCCATCTCCTGGAGCATGGGTGCTCTGTGGGCTTCAGACAAGTGAGGCACAATCTCTGCTACCCTGGAATATTCCAACTTCTCATCTCTCTACCTGTTTAGCTAAACCTGGGTGAGCAAGCTATGTAGGGGGCCCCATCAGAGACCCTCTTCGGTTGGGCTCCCTTGCTTCTTCCCAAAGTTCCTTTCCAGCCCCCCCAAAATTTTGTTTGGATCTCTCTTCCATCTGTGCCAGTAGTAAACTGGATCCACAAGTTTTCCTCTCATATCTTTTTGTCTTATGCCTAATGTATTAGTTTTCTAGGGCTGCTGTAACAAAATACCACACAGAGTGGCTCCCACCAACAGAAATTTCTTGTCTCACAGTTCTGGAGGTTAGAAGTCCTCAGTCAAGGTGTCAGCAGGGCCCCGCTCCTTCTGAAACCTGTAGGGGAAGGCTGTCCTTATCTCTTCCAGCTTCTGGTAGCCCAGACGTTCCTGGGCTGTGGCATAACTGCAGTCTCTGTTTCCATCTTTCCATGCTGTTTTCCGTACATCTCTTGGCATAGTCTTTCCTCTGTGCATGCCTGTCTCTGTGTCCAAATTTTCCCTTTTTATAAGGACACCAGTCATTTTGGATTAGAGTCCACCCTAATGATTTTTATGTTAACTTGATTATCTCTGTAAAACCCTATTTCCAAATAAGGGTATTTTCTGAGGCCCTGGGGATTAGGACTCCAATATACTTTTTTTTTTTTTTTTTTTTTGGCAGGAGGGTAGACACAATTCAACTTATAACACTTAAGACCAAAACCTTTTAAATTTAAAATGCAAGAATCTGATGATTCTTTTCACTTACGAAATAATAGCTTTGGTATCTGGCCAGAATTTGGAGGGGAGTGGGTGGAGGGAAGATCTTCAGGTAATAGTGAAGAAATTCATTAATAATAACAACAATAACAAAACCCAACATTTATTCAGTATTATGTGTCAGATACTCTCCTAAGCACTTTGAGTATATTCACTTAACCCTCACCTATAGGAAGAATTATACACATTTTACAGATGAAACAAATATGGAGTGAGGTAAGAACACATTAACTAGTACTTCATATATCACCATGCATATGACACCAATATGCACTGAGTCCTGGAGAAGCATAAAGGAAATGATCTTTTATTAATTTAGACCACTGCTATTCACACATTTAATGAAAATTCATGACATTTTACTATTTCAGTATGTAAGTTTTCTGTCATGAAATATTTCTATTTTCTAGGAACTTTTATGTTTTTTTTCTAGTCACAGCCAAATTATCCTTGCTCACCACTACTTTACTAAATGTTCATTCACTCTGCCAGTCCCTAGCACCCAATGCTAATTTCTCCACCAGTAATAATAATTAGAAATATATTCATTCTGATGACCAATTTTGGGCATATACTCAAAAGAACATATACATATACTCAAAAGATTTTTCTGATAGTGTTTTCTGAGGAACTGATCACTGTATGGGTATGTATGTGTGTATGTGTTTTAAACTATTCTAAGGACAATAAGAATTATCATAGGATGAAATTTTGAGGAAGAAAAAAATGCAGTTCTATAACAAGTAGCATTATACAAATTTAATAGAATTATTACAAATTTAATAGAATTATATAACTATAATAAACAATATAAATTAAAAATATAAATAATGCCAAATTTAATAGAATTTGCAGGTAATATTAGTCTCATCTGATTTACATATTCATTGCTAATATTTTTAATTGCTTCACTAGATCTGCCTATGAGTAACAATTATTATTCCAATGTCCAAACCTAATTTAGAATTCCCTTTAAAGTTTTTCTAGATATCTCCTGCTCTTTTCCATCCCTACCTTACAATTTGGAACAGTGGTCCCCTAGGTCTAGTCCAAATGCAAAAATAGTATAAATGTAAATATGAAGAATCAAGACAATGTATGGAGCTAAGGTAAATATATAAATACTATAATCAATATCCTGGAGAAATAAAAATATATTGCATCTATGAAGTGGGAAATGGGAAATATTGGGGGAATAATAAAATATAATAAAGAGTGCTCATAAATTACATAAACCATACATAAAGCAGAGGAAAAATAAGTAGCCTGAAAGGAAAAATTAAAGACATCTCTTAGGAAGTTGAACTAAACACAAGGATATGAAAATACGATAAGAAAAAGAGCATCAATCCCAAAGGGAAAAAAAAAAAAGTAAATGTGTTACAAGAAAAATTTCCAGAAATTAAAAGACTCACTAAAAATTCACTTTATGATATAAAGGAGCACACATTGAGATGCATTATAAAATTTCAAAACATAAAAGGTAAGAAAACAAAAAAGAATCAGATCACCATCAGACTTACTAACAATAAGTGTTAGTAGGAAACAAGGAAGGAAGGATATCAAAAGGTGTAGAGAACATTGTTTTATAGTTTTGTTCCCAGCCAAGCTGGAAAATCACATCTTGTATGAGAACCAAATAAAGGTATTTCAGATAATCTAACCAACAAAATTTTAGATTCTCTCTGTCCTTTTATGAAAAGTCATTTGAGCATATATTCCAGCTCCCCTCAACCAAAAAAAAAAAAAAAAGGAAAGGAAGGGAAGGGAAGGGAAGGAAAAGAAAACCAAGGAAGACAAAGACATGATATCCAGAAAACATTCAAATTCATCTGTGAATCTGCCTAGAGAGGAGTAGCATCCTATCCCAGAATCAAATTTTTGTGGAGGCTGAAAATACAATCATTCCACATTATAAGGTGAAAACAAAGGCTATCCACAAAGGAAATCTGTTGTAAGTATCAAACACAAATGGGATGATTAATTCCTTTTTGTCGCCTATTGATGTGATAGATTGCATTAATTCATTTTTGTTTTTTGTTTTTTAAATATTTATTTATTTTGGGGGGGTGGAAAGAGAGCACACGAGCGGAAGAGGGAGAGAGAATCTCAAGCAGACTCTGCTCTGAGCGTGGAGCCTGATGTGGGGCTTGATCTCATGACTTTGAGGTCATGACCTGAGCAGAAACCAAGAGTCGAATGCTTAACCAACTGTGCCACCCAGGCTCCCCGCATTAATTCATTTTTGGAAGTTGAACTGATCTAGGCCACATTTTAGTAACTAGTTTGAATAAGACAAGAAAAACAAATGATAATTATTGTGCCAATATACCTTAGAGCAAAAAGAAAAATAAATGTCAGTAAAGAGATCTTTACTCTTTTTTTGCTAAAGAAGTTCATTTTATGTGAGCAGGTTTTATCATTTTAAATACAAAGGAGAAAAGGGAGAAGTGACCAGAAGAGTGATATAATTTGCTATGATTCTAGCTTCATTGTGGGTTGTATGCTTTCCTTCTGCAGATGGAAGGACAGGTGATTTTCAGGTCTTCAGTAAGTGGGTCCTGAGGTTTAGGTAAAATAGTTATTGGTTACAAGTATAGGGCTTCTGGAACCTTAGTGGTATTTGACAACACT